CTTGTGCCTCGTACAGGATCTTGCAACCCCTACTGTCAAGCAGATGCGAGATACGGCGAAGTGCTGTAAGCTTCCTGGCTGCCTTGTTTGCAAGATTTACAACATGGTTCTTCATGGTTAGTTTGGAGTCAAATTTCACCCCAAGGATATCAACTTCTTCTCCAGGTGCCAACACCCTCCCATTCATCCTTACTACTGCACCAGCATTACCATCATGGTGCCTAGAGGCGATCATCATTTGCGTTTTCTCAGGTGCAAATGTTACCTGCCATCTATTTCCCCAAGCTGATATAGCGCTCAGCTGGTGATTGATGTAGCTTAGAGCAGCTGGCATTTCTTCTCTTGGATAAGTGAATGTCAGTGTACAGTCGTCTGCATATGCATGTGATTCTGGGATGAGATGAAGAAGGTCGTTGAAGTAGACATTCCATAAAAATGGACCCAGCACGCTTCCTTGTGGAACACTTGCCCAAATAGGATGTCTTGCTGATTCCGTTTCATTGAGAACTACACTTAGAGATCTACCATGAAGGTAATCACTGAGGAGACATAGCTTAGAGCCTGCAATTCCCAGTGCTTGAAGTTTTGCTAAGAGGCCCTGGTGCCACACCCGGTCGAGAGCGCCAGCAATGTCCTGTGCTACCACACAGCTGACTTTGGATTCATCCAGTGACTGGTGCCACTTAGTGGAGAGGTTTAATAACAGATCAGCAGCAGAGTAACCTTTCCTGAAGCCATATTGACGATCACAAAGTAGTGAGTGGTAGTCAAAAAACTCTGTCATTTGTCTTGAGATTATTGTCTCAAGGATCTTACCAGTTAGGTTAGGTTAGGTAAGGTTCGTCAGGAAACAGGACAAATGTATCCTGACGCGGGTCTTAGTCAGATGATGACCCGCCTTTGGAGCTTTTGGTCATCTGACCGAGGCCTTCCGCTGGCTTTCCGGTCCACCCCTTTAAAAATTATGGTCATTTATAACCATTGTTATATCTTACCAGTGATTGACAGGAGTGACACTGGTCTGTAGTTGCTGATTTCTGCTCTGCTCTTCTTTTTGTGAACAGGGACTACATTTGCCTCTTTCCATAGAGAGGGCCATTTACACTGTACTAGGCAGTGCTGAAAGATGCGAGTTAGAGGTGCTGCTAGCTGGTCTGCACATCTTCTCAACAATCTTGGGCTCAACTGTCTGGGCCCACAGCCTTTTCTTGGTCAAGTGATTTAAGAAGGAAATGCACCGCCTCCTGCCTTATTGTCACCACTGACAGTTTTGACACAAGGAGGGTTCCTTGCTGGATCAGGAACTTGCATTTTGGTAGCAAAGTGTTCAGCAAAGAGGTCCGCCTTCTCTTGACTACTAGTAGAGGTGGTCCCATCCTGTCGATTTAGAGGTGGAATAAGTTCATCAGGCAGATAACCTTGTCTGTCCTTGACCAGGGACCACCAGGTTTTGGAGCCTACCCTACCTGATGCTAACTTTCTTTTAGTATCCACCTCCCATTTAGCAATGGCCCACTTTTGAACATCACCCATATGCCTACAGGCTTGCATGTGCAAGTTCCTGTTATAGGTGGTAGGATGTCTCTTATACCTTCGCCATGCTTTGTACTTAGCAGTAGCAGCCTCTCTCTCTCTCTCTCTCTCTCTCTCTCTCTCTCTCTCTCTCTCTCTCTCTCTCTCTCTCTCTCTCTCTCTCTCTCTCTCTCTCCCTCTGTCTCTCTCTCTCTCGAGACATAGATAGATAGTTAGATAGATGGATAGAGAGAGAGAGAGAGAACACAAGGAAAATGATGTTCCCTCCAGCCCACCTTCAAGGTTGCTGCAATACTGTTGTATACTGACAACCACCTTCAAGGTTGCTGCAATACTGTTGTATACTGACAACCACCTTCAAGGTTGCTGCAATACTGTTGTATACTGACAACCACCTTCAAAGGGTTTCTGCAATATGTTGTATACTGACAACCACCCTTTAAGGTTGCTGAATACTGTTGTATACTGACAACCACCTTCAAGGTTGCTGCAATACTGTTGTTACTGACAACCACCTTCAAGGTTTGGGTGCAATACTGTTGTATACTGACAACCAAACCCTTTAAGGTTGCTGCAATCGTTTTTATACTGACAACCACCTTCAAGGTTGCTGCAATACTGTTGTATACTGACAACCACCTTCAAGGTTGCTGCAATACTGTTGTATACTGACAACCACCTTCAAGGTTGCTGCAATACTGTTGTATACTGACAACCACCTTCAATGTTGGCTGCAATACTGTTGTATACTGACAACCACCTTCAAGGTTGCTGCAATACTGTTGTATACTGACAACCACCTTCAAGGTTGCTGCAATACTGTTTTATACTGACAACCCTTCAAGGTTGCTGCAATATGTTGTATACTGACAACCACCTTCAAGGTTGGCTGCAATACTGTTGTATTTCTGACAACCACCTTTAAGGTTGCTGAATACTGTTGTATACTGACAACCACCTTCAAGGTTGCTGCAATACTGTTGTATACTGACAACCACCTTCAAGGTGGTTGTAATACTGTTGTATACTGACAACCACCTTCAAGGTTGCTGCAATACTGTTGTATACTGACAACCACCTTCAAGGTTGCTGCAATACTGTTGTATACTGACAACCACCTTCAAGGTTGCTGCAATACTGTTGTATACTGACAACCACCTTCAAGGTTGGCTGCTTTCTGTTGTATAACTGACAACCACCTTTAAGGTTGCTGCAATACAGTTGTATACTGACAACCACCTTCAAGTTGCTGCAATACTGTTGTATACTGACAACCACCTTCAAGGTTGCTGCAATACTGTTGTATACTGACAACCACCTTCAAGGTTGCTGCAGTACTGTTGTATACTGACAACCACCTTCAAGGTGGTTGTAATACTGTTGTATACTGACAACCACCTTCAAGGTGGTTGTAATACTGTTGTATACTGACAACCACCTTCAAGGTTGCTGCAATACTGTTGTATACTGACAACCACCTTCAAGGTGGTTGTAATACTGTTGTATACTGACAACCACCTTCAAGGTGGTTGTAATACTGTTGTATACTGACAACCACCTTCAAGGTGGTTGTAATACTTGTTGTATACTGACAAAACCCCCTTCAAGGTTGCTGCAATACTGTTGTATACTGACAAACCCCCTTCAAGTGGTGCAATACTGTTGTATACTGACAACCACCTTCAAGGGGGTTGCAATTTCTGTTGTATACTGACAACCACCTTCAAGGTTGGTTGCAATACTGTTGTATACTGACAACCACCTTCAAGGTGGTTCCAATACTGTTGTATACTGACAGCCACCTTCAAGGTGGTTGCAATACTGTTGTATACTGACAACCACCTTCAAGGTTGGCTGCAATACTGTTGTATACTGACAACCACCTTCAAGGTGGTTGCAATACTGTTGTATACTGACAACCACCTTCAAGGTTGGCTGCAACACTGTTGTATACTGACAACCACCTTCAAGGTTGGCTGCAACACTGTTGTATACTGACAGCAACCTTCAAGGTTGGCTGCAATACTGTTGTATACTGACAACCACCTTCTAGGTGGTTGGAATACTGCTGTATACTGACAGCCTCTTTCAAAGCAGAGTGGAATACTGCTGTATACTGACAGCCCCCTTCAAAGCAGAGTGGAATACTGCTGTATACTGACAGCCTCTTTCAAAGCAGAGTGGAATACTGCTGTATACTGACAGCCCCCTTCAAAGCAGAGTGGAATACTGCTGTATACTGACAGCCTCCTTCATGGCAGGCTGGAATACTGCTGTATACTGACAGCCTCTTTCAAAGCAGAGTGGAATACTGTTGTATACTGACAGCCCCCTTCAAAGCAGAGTGGAATACTGCTGTATACTGACAGCCTCTTTCAAAGCAGAGTGGAATACTGCTGTATACTGACAGCCCCCTTCAAAGCAGAGTGGAATACTGCTGTATACTGACAGCCTCCTTCATGGCAGGCTAGAATACTGCTGTATACTGACAGTCACCTTCAAGACAGGCTAGAATACTGCTGTATACTGACAGTCACCTTCAAGACAGGCTAGAATACTGCTGTATACTGACAGCCTCCTTCAAGGCAGGTGAGATTGCTGATCTGCAAAACGTTCAACGAATTTTCACTGCTCGTGTACATTCAAACATCGGAACTGCTGGGAATATATTAAGTCTCTTGATCTGTACTCCTTGGAGGATAGGAGAGAGAGACAACTCACAGTTTACACCCGGAAGAGATCTGGCAGACACTGCAGAGGCGTCACCCATACACGAAGAGAAAACCTCATTGAGTGTCAGAGGCCCCCGACTTCTCAGCGTCCTCCTTACTTAATTACCATCAGATCTCTGACTGTCTTCAAGGGGGACCCGCATAAGTTCCTCAGATCAGTTCCTGATCACCCAGGCTGTGGTAGATACGTATCAATACGTGCAGAAAGCAGTAACAGACTGTTGCTTAGGCAGTGTTACTCCTGTTAAACCCCAGAAACATCCTTACGGTATCCTTCACCTTGGCGTGTTAGATTTCAAATCTATCTACTACACGATGGATGGTGTGTTAGGTTTCAAGTCTACTACAGGAAGGTCATTAAGGCTGCATGTCACCTGTACAACAGTCAGGAATACTTTAAAACCAAAAATACTGATTAATGTAAATTTCCAGTATAGTGTAAATATACTGAGATATACACCTTTCAATGTATATACACTGAGATATACACACTTGAGTGTGTACACACACTGAATCATGCATCTCTCAGTGTATATATTCTAGGAGATATATATATTTGTGTATTTACACACACAGAGATACACACCTCTTGGTTTATATACAGTATTTACACTGAGAGGTGTAAATAATAATAATAATAATAATAATAATAATAATAATAATAATAATAAATAATAATAACTAGAACAATAACAATATGAACAATAATAACGTTGTTGGTGCTCCTTGTTACAGTGTTACGTGAGGAGTTCCGTGCTGTACCGTCAGACACTGTGGTGGCAGCGGGAGAGTCAGCGCTGTTGGAGTGCGTTCCACCCAGAGGTCACCCTGAACCCTTGGTCAGGTGGAGGAGGAATGGCCAGGTCATTAAGGTACCTGAGTCACATAGGTGAGTCTTGTAATACTCTTGTAACACTGCGGAGTCTTGTAATACTCTTGTAACACTGGGGAGTCTTGTAACACTCTTGTAACACTGGGGAGTCTTGTAATACTCTTGTAACACTGGGGGAATCTTGTAACACTGGGGAGTCTTGTAACACTCATGTAACAGAGGGGTCTTGTAACACTGGGGAGTCTTGTAACACTCGAGTAACACGGGAGTCTTGTAACACTCTTGTAACACTAGGAGGTCTTGTAACACTCTTGTAACACGGGGGAGTCTTGTAACACTGGGGAGTCTTGTAACACTGAAGAGTCTTGTAACACTGGGGAGTCTTGTAACACTGGGGAGTCTTGTAACACTGAAGAGTCTTGTAACACTGAAGAGTCTTGTAACACTGGAGAGTCTTGTAACACTGAAGAGTCTTGTAACACTGAAGAGTCTTGTAACACTGAAGAGTCTTGTAACACTGAGGAGTCTTGTAACACTGGGGAGTCTTGTAACACTGAAGAGTCTTGTAACACTGGGGAGTCTTGTAAACATGAGTCTGTAAACACTGACTAGTACCATGTAACACTGAAGAGTCTTTGATACACAGGGGAGTCTTGTAACACTGGGAGTCTTGTAACACTGAAGAGATCTTGTAACACTGAAGAGTCGTAACATCTGAAAGTCATGTAACACTGAAGAGTCATGTAACACTGAAGCTTCTTGTAACACTGGGGAAGTCTTGTACACTGAAAGGCCTTGTAACACTGGGGAGTCTTGGAACACTGAGAGTCTTGAAACACTGGGGAATCTTGAAAAAATGGGGAGTCTTTGTAACACTTGGGGAGTCTTGTAAACACTGGGGATCTAGCGGTAACACCTGCAGAGTCTTGTAACACTGGGGGAGTCTTGAAACACTGGGAGTCTTGTAATCCCTTGGGAGTCTTGTAACACAGGGAGTCTTGGTAACACTGGGAGTCTTGTACCACTGAAAGAGGTCTTGTAACACTGACGAGTGTCTTGTACACTGAGAGGTCTGTAAAACTGAAGAGACTTCTAAACACTGAAGAGTCTTATAACACGGAAGAGTCTGTAAACAGCTGAAAGAGTCTTGTAACAAGACAAGAGATCTTGTAACACTTGGGAGATCTGGTAACACTGGGAGTCATGTACCACCTGAAGATCCTTGTAACACTGAGGGGAGTCTTGTAAACACTGAAGAGTCTCAGTAAACACTGAAGGTCATGATAACCCTGGGGATCTTGTAAACACTGACTCAAGTCTTGCTAACACTGAGGAGTCTTGTCTATCACTGGGAGCTCTTGTACACACTGAAGATCTTGTAACACTGGATATAGGGGATGGTAAGGATTGGATGGGTTAAGGACGTGGAGGAGATAAAGGAGATGGGTAAGGAGGGATGGTAGAGGAGGGGAAGGGTCAAGGAGGGGATGTAGTAGTGCATAGGTAAGGATTGATGGCGTTAGGAGGGATGGGATGATGGTGATGGATAAAGTATGGGATGTGTAAGAGGGATGGGTAAGGATAAGATGGGAAAGGAGGGGATGGCAAGGATTGGATGGGAAAGGACGGGATGGGTAAGGATGATTGGGTAATGGGAGGATGATGGGTAAGGATATGATGGGTAAGGAGAGGATGGGTAAGGTTTGGATGGTAATAGATGGATGGTAAGGAATGAGGGTAAGGAAGATTATGGGTAAGCAGATGAATGGTTTAAGGATTGGAGGGTAAGGAGGGGATAGGAAAGATTGGATGGGTAAGGAGGGGAAATGTGGGGGTTAAAAAAGAGGGGATGGGTTAAGGAGGGGACGGACCAAGAATGGATGGGTAAGAAGGGGATGGTAAGGATGGGATTGGATAAGAAGGGGAATGGAGGGAGGTGATTGGTAGAGAGGGTATAGGTAAAGGAGGGATGGGTAAGGAGGTGATAGGTAAGATTGATGTGTAATTAGGGGTGGAGGTAAGGATTGGAAGAGTAAGGAGGGGATGGGTAGAAGGGAGGGTAAGAGGGGATGGTAAGGATTGGATGGTTAAGGAGGCAATGGTAAGGATTGGGATGGGTATAGGAGGGATTGGGAAAAGATTGGATGGTAAGGACGGATGGGTAAGGAGGGATATGGGTAAGGAGGGATGGTTAAGGAGAGGGATATAAGTAGGGGATAGGTTAGGAGGGTGGTTGAGTAGGGATGGTAAGGATTGGATGGGTAAGTAGGCGATATATAGATTGGATCTGGGTAGAGGGATGGGGTAAGAGGGGATGATAAGAAGGATGTGTAAGGAGTGGATGGGTAAGGAGGGGATGGTAAGATTGGATCTGGTAAGAAATTGATTGGATAAGGTAGGAAGGTAAAGGATTGGATGGGATGGAGGGTATGGTAAGATTGATTAAGGAGCGGATTGGTAAGGATGGGGATGGGTAAGGAGGGGATGGGTAAGGAGGGATGGTTATAGGAGGGAAGATTAAGTAGGGGATAAGTGCGAAGGGAGGGGTAAGGAGGGGATGTTAAGGATTGATGGTAAGTAGGGATAGGAGGCAGGATTGGATGGTAAAAAGGGGATGGTAAGGAGGCGGGATGGGGTTAAGGAGGGGATTGGTAAGCGGAGGCGGGACTGGGTAAGGAGCGGGATGGGCTAAGGAGGGTATGGCGGTAAGGAGAGGAATGGGTACGATTGAATGGTAACAGATTGGATAGAGATAAAACGGAAGGTATGGAGTAAGGATGGATCGTGTACGGAGGGAAGGGAAAGGATTGGATGGGTAAGGACGGAGATGGGTAAGTGGGTATGGGTAAGTAGGGGCTAGATAAGGAGAGGGATGGGTAAGATTTCGATGGGGTAAACTAGGCGGATAGGCAAGGATTGGATGAGTAAGGAGGGATCGGGTAAGGAGGGGATGGATACAGGAGGGATGGTTTAAGGCGGGCATTGGGTAAGGAATTAGAAAGGCGGAACGTAAGGGGAGGGTAAGGATATAAAATGGCGGTTAAGGACGGATGGGTAAGAGGGGAACTGAATAGGAGCTAGGAATGGGTAAGGAGGGATTGGTAAGGAGGATGGGTAATGATTGGATGGTAAGGAAGGGATTGAGTGTAAGGACGGAATTGTACGGAGCTGATGGTAAGGAAGAGCAATGAGGATAAGGAGGATATATGAGGGTAAGGAGAGATATGTGTTACAATGATTTGGAGCGGTAAAGTAGGGGATAGGTAAGGATTTGATGGGCCAAGGAGGGGATGGTAAGGAGGGGATGGATAAGGACGGGGACGGTTAAGAGGGTATGTGTAAGGGATTGGATGGGGGTTTACAGGAGGGGATTGGCTCAAACTGGATTGGATGGGTATGGATTGGGATGGGAACAAGATTGGATGGGTAAGGAGGGGAAGAGGTAAGAATCTTTGATGGTAAGAGGGGATGGGTACAGATGGTATGGAGAAGGAGGTGATGGGTAAGGATTGGTTGGGTAAGGAGGCGGGATGGGAAAGGATGGGATGGCAAGGAAGGGATTGGGTAAAGAGGGATAGGTAAGGAGGGGATTGTAATAATTGGAATGGCGTAAGAAAGGAGATTTTGGCGCGGTACAAGGAGGGAATGGTAAGGATTGTGGGTAAGGATTGATGGTGTAAAGATTGGATACGTAAGGAGGGATGGGTAAGGATGGTATGAGTTAAGCGATGGATGGGTAAGGATGGGATTGAGTAAGAGGGGATTGTGTAAGAGGGAATGGGTAAGGATTGGATCTGGTAGAAGGGATGTGTAAGGAGGGGATGCGGTAAGGAAGGGTGATGGCGGTTAAAGACGGTAAGTGGGATAGGGAGGGTAGGTGATCAACGACGAAGGCGTGATGGGTAGATTGGATCTGGCTAAGCGAGGGATGGCGTAAAGGAGGGGACGGTAAGGAGGTGATGTGTAAGGATTGGATTGGTATAAATTAGGGGATGGTGAGGAGGGTATGGGTAAGGATCTTTAATGATAAATAATATATAGCGTAAAAGGAGGGACACTGGGACTAACGGAGGGGATGGCAAGGAGCCGAAGATAGTGTGTGAGGAGGGGATGGGTACGGAGAGGGAAATCGGGCGTAAAGAAGGGGATGGGTACTGAGAGGGCGTGACCAGGGTACAGAGGAGAGGAATGGGTAAGGAGGGATGGCGGTAAAAGAGAAGGCGCGAATGGGTGAAGGAGGGATGTACGGAGTAGGATCAGGGTAAGGAGGGGATGGGTAAGAAGAGGGGAGGGTTAAGGAGGGGGACAGGTAAGAAGGGGATGGGTAAGGAGGGGACATCGCAAGGAGGGATGGGATAAGGGCGAGAGGGATGGGTGAGGAGAGTTGGGTAAGAGAGACGGGTACAGAAGAGGGATTCGGGTAAAGGAGGGATGTAAGGAGGGGATGAGAAAGTCTGGCATAGGAAAAGAACAAGATAAGAGAAGGAGTGGTATGGGACAAATATGGTGAGTGAATTGGTAAAAGGAGGCATTGAGGTGTAAAACAGTTGTAGAGAGTGAAGGCAGTTGGTGGAGGTGTGGTGAGGTCTGGCTTCGGTTGTGTGTGGAGATGGTGTGGTTGGAGGTGGTGATCGTGGGGTGGAGGTCTCTAAGTATGGAGTGGTGTAGGGAGGTGTGTGAGGTGATATGTGTGGGGAGGCTGTGGGTGGTGGTTTAGTGAAGCAGTGGTAGCGATGCTGGGTGGATATCAGAAGTGGAGCAAGTTGTGGAGGTGGTGTCTGGACAGTGATGGAGGAGACACTGGTTAAGGAGGTGAGTCGTGTGGTGGAGGCGTGGTGGAGGTCACTGGTGTGAGAGGGTGTGGTGGAAGGCAGTTGTGGAGGCACTGTGGTGGAGTGGTGTGGTGAGGCCAGGTGGTGGTAGAAGGCACTGTTTGTGAGAGGAGGTGTGGTGGAGCAGGGTGGTGTGACGTGATGTGGTGGAGGCAGTGGATGAAGGCACTTGAGTGGAGAGTGTGGTGGAGGCCACTGGTGTGGAGGTGAGTTGTGTGCGGCAGT